GCTCTGCATCACTAGTCTCAGGGTTAATAGCACTGAAGAATATGGCATCCAGTCTCATTCTCTGAAAATACTGTGGTGCAATTCATCATTGCATGGAAGCATAAGAAATATTAATTGAGCTTTTTCTATGTGCTGAGCACTGGAGATGCCATAATGAATAAGATCAAAACTTGTATTTGAATTCCAACTCTACCACTCACTAACCAAAAGAGTAATGCTTCTTTGTACCTGTTTCCTCACTTAAAAAGTTAAGACAAGGAGAATATCTACTTCATAAGGTTGCTGTGAGATGATTAAGTTAGTGTTGTATGCAAAACTTCAGTGCACTGTGTAGCACACAGTACATGCTTAGTGAACATTCCTTCCTAAAATGCCTACCCTCAGGGAGATTCCATTTGTGTTCTTTATCCCTCTAACATGCACTCCTACCTGGATTTATTGACATAAGGGAAATAGAGAGCGAGAATACAACAATTTCACTGAGTTTGCATGTTGTAAGAGCCAGTGTATATTAGATAAATGACAGACTCTGCCATCTACCAGTGTTGTTCTGGTCACATCCTTTAACCTTTTGAGTTTCGGTTGACTCGTCTCTGATATGGGAATAATAAATACCACAACACAGTGTTGTTTGAAGAATTAAATCAAGTGATTCATGTGAAAACATTTTAAGTTATAAAGTGCTATTCAAGTGGAAGTATTATGGTAAACTTTTGATTATCCACTTATAGATGGCTTTGTTTATGGAAGATACATCAGCAAATTTTCATCCAAGACTGATTTTTTATTACTCACTTAGTTTGTCTTATTGCTATCTCCTTCACTGTCCAGCTGGCTGGTGTTAAGTGTAGCCCAAATGTATTTGAGGAGTCCAGGCCAAATGTAACCAAGAAAATAATACTGTTTAAAATCCTACCAAGTTTCAATGATAAAAATAGGTATTTATAAATTATTTAATGTTCTATAACTATCTTGTGTTCCCCATAAGTGTTTTTTATTTATATTACAGAAATATAGAGGCATCATCAGATGATATAACATAGAAAATGTATGACTTAACAGTTTAAAAGAAAAGAAAATTTAAGCTACATTAGAATTAGACACAATCTCATAGTTCTTAGTTATGACAATTTAGTTCTCACAATTTTTAGCTCACAACAATTTTATTTCTCTGTAATTTGAAATGCAATTTGGAAAAGCCTGGCAACGCACACATATGCTCTCTCATCCATACCTTTTCTAATTAAAAAATGCAATTCAGAAGTACTGCATATGGTACAGCTATGGATAGAACTAATAACATCTTATTTTTCTAAACAATAATATGGTTATTGGCTATATATTATATCTCTTTTATGAACTGTTGGGAAATGAAGGGAAAATTTACTAGCCTTTTTTTTTCCATTTCTGCCTTTTATACGGAATAAAATTACCCTTAGTTTGAATTTGTCATTTACTCTAACCACAGGATATAGCTTATGACATTAGGTTTGACAAAGGACAACAATGAAATCACTTTAAGGAAATATATAAACATATTTGCAGAGGCTGAATGGACAATAAAAATAGTTTGGGGATTAAAAGTGAAAAGAGAAAAAGAGTAACTAGTTCCAGAGAGGATTGGAAATGAGCAATGACAGCTATAATGGCAGAATTCAGGATATTGGACCAGACCAAAAGACAGGAGGTACTGAAGAAGGCAGAGCACAGATGTCATCGTACAATTCACTTATTTATGATCTCATTACAGAGAGGAGAAAAGGGAGTATTTTCGGTCTGTGTTTTTAGATCATTGCATCCTGTTTTATAGCAGCCCTTTTTTCTTGCCAGTATAATCCTCAAGACTATCCATATAGTTTTTCTTATTTTCCTTCTTTTCAAAACCCTTCCAGTTTTACATTTAATGAGTTGGAAATACATATTGCTCCTAAATTGTACTTTCCTCCACATCCATTAAAATATACAAAGACATTATACAGAGAATACCCTGCATGTATGATTGTGTATAGCAAATCCAGATTCTCTTCACTACTTTCTCTTTTTGCTACATGCTTAAAGTATTAAGAAGCAGAATTAATCACCTCTATTTGGATTATGTATTAATTCAGTAGCTGTTCACTGAGTACTTATTATGTGCCAAGCACTGTGAGGTTATGAAGGATATAGTGGCAAGGGTGTTAAATTGTATCTTTCAATTTGTATGAGTATTTTTTTCCCCCAGGGGAAAGAAGCTTCTAGAATCAGAATTAGATGATGACAGTGACTGGCTAATCCTAAATGTTACTAAGCTTTTCAATGACAAATTATGTTTGCCTTGCCAGTTTTTGTTACAGGAATATGATTTGTGTGTGCTTGTTTCAACTTAAATTATAGGATTGTTTTACTTGAGTCTTGAAAATGACAAATAAATGATAAATGAGCTACAGCCAGTCATGACATAGGCAAGAACATAATAATTTTCTCCAAAGTGAAACTGCCTAATAAATCTTAATTTTGAATAACCAGCAAGTAACAGAAGTAAGCTTTACTTATGCTACAGCTTATGCCAGTTTATCTCAAATTAGACCAAGACCAGAGAATTAAAAGTAAAATTTTACCTAATGACAATTGAGAAAATAGAAGTAAAAGTTCCTAAAAAATAACAATATCCATTGAATTGTAAAATAGTATTTACAGAATAACAAATACCTTGCCAATACTTTGTATCACATATCCAGTCTCCCTCATTACATATTTATTGAAGAAATACTAGTCACCAAGAAGTTAGGATAACTGTGTTGTAGAATAAAACAAAGAGTTTTATGTGAAATAAAACTAAAGTTGTGTGTGTATACATTCTATACTTCAGAATATAAGGGGCGCCTGGGTGGCTCAGTCAGTTAAGCCTCTGCCTTCAGCTCAGGTCATGATCCCGGGGTCCTGGGATTGAGCCCCACATCGGGCTCCCTGCTCAGCAGGGAGTCTACTTCTCCCTCTCCCTCTGCCTGCCGCTCCCCCTGCTTGTGCACTCTCTCTGTCAAGTAAGTTAATAAAAAATCTTTAAAAAAAAAAAAAGACTATAAATCCTCTATATACAAATCTCAAAAGGATATATATTTAGAAGTATTTCAAGGAACAAAATTTGTTCTATCTATATTTTTGCAGTCTAGTTGCTGAAAAATGTAAACTTCAGTATGACTTCCCATTTCCAGACTCCACTTTCATTGTAATGTGCCTTGAGTCCAAACTTTCAAGACTGATTAAATAATTTCTTAAGGTGCTTTCTTATGCTTCTTTTAGTTGTCAGTCTGAACGCAGATCTGTGAGTATTCTAAACACAAAATGAAGTGCATCTCCTAAGTAAAGCATTTAAATGACCTGTAATGAGGCATATAATCCAGTGAACACTGCAGTCACTCGATAAAGACTGAGAATGATGATAAATTATAATAGTATAAATAGAGTTGTTAAAAGAGCCCTAGAAATACTATTAAAATAAGATTTGTATATTAATGAGATAAGGAATCTTAAAAAAAAACCATTTGCAACTTTTTAAGCATAACCTTTTTTTTCAGATTTATTTTAGAGAGAGTGAGAGCTAGTGGGGGGTGGGGAGAGGGAGAACGAGAGAATCTCAAGCATACTCCCCACTGAGTGCACAGCCCAAGACCATCACCCAAGCCGAGATCAAGAGTCGGAGGCTCAACTGACTGAGCCACCCAGGTGCCCCAAGCATAACTTTTGATATAGGCTAGTTTTGTCTTCTAACACGTGTGATACTGAGCTTTCAAAAAAGTCAATTGAGAGAAATGACTGTGTGATTTTGACAATAGAAGACAAAAGAGCTTAGGTCAAAGCACAAAAATCTCACCCAAATGTAATTGTAATTACCCAAAACAGTATTTCTCCCTTGTTTTGAAATTTCCCTAGAGTTTTTATCTATTGTACAATAATAGTTCATCCATTCCATTGAATTTTTTTAGATTTATATCAACTGTAATCTGTGATTTTTAAGTTTGTGTTTTGAACCCATTTTTCCCCAGCTCTTCCCCTTGTTTTTTGTTGGCCCTGTTCTTTTTTCTGATTTAGGCAAATTATCTCTCATGAGACAAATGCTTATAAGAGAAACAAGATGCTGCTTTGTGAGTTACATGAATATGTTACAATTTCCCCAATTTTTCATGACTTGTATTGGTCAGTACCTTAAAAGTAAAAATGGAATCTAATTTGAGAGATACATAGCCATAACATGGCTGAGGATTTCAATTTGTTCTTACAAAGGTATGTTGACTCGGTTAAGAATTTCAGAAAAGGCCAGAACAGGAGGCTCAATATTTATGTCAACCTTCTGATAACAGCTTATTCTGAGTTTTTTTCCACAATATCAAATATTGATAAGTGGAAGGGAGAGCAGTTTTTTCAGTAAAGATTCTGAATCCACTTATTTAGTATGAGAGCATTCCCCATAAATGTGTAGCCTCATGAGGTTTATTTCTCATAAGACTGACATGGAAAATCTTAGGGCTTAGGAAATGCTTGCAGAGTAGTTTCTTCTGAATCCTTGAGATGGGTAAAAAGCAAGACTATTATGTTAAATAGTGGTATAAACTATAATATTTTATAAATGAGACTTAGTCAAGCTATTTGAAAGCATTATGTGTATAATTACCTTCCTAACTTTCAAAGGGAAATATTGGTGTTCTTATTATGAATATTGTATTTCCTATGTCTATAGTTTGAAACTGTGTTTTTTTCAGTCTTAGCTTGAATAACTTTTGCCTTATGTTTTCTAAGTCTGTACTGTGTTTTTTAAGTTTATAATATGATTGCTTTTTTAAAAAGTAATTTTACGAGGGGAATGTTTTTTTATTAAAAAAAAACTATGTTCAAAAAGCAAGTATGAGTGAAATAAATTATTTACTTTCAGTTTGGAAGAGGTGAATAAAAAGTGCTTGGCCAATACCGTACCATTAATCTATTCTCTTTTCTCCTTTCTCTCTGTACTTCTCTCTCTCCAATAGAAGTGGAACAAAAAGGTAATTAAATACCTTTCATAAATTATATACTATTTATAGGCTAAGTTATTTAACAGTTTAACATTTAAAATAATTTTGTATTAATTCTTATCTATTTTATGAAAATTTATTTACTACTTCTGCTGCTCAACTTCACTTTAACCTGTTGTGATGACCAGTGCTGGTTTGATCCTTTTATCCTAAAACAGTTTAATCATGTAAAATTTTCAACCATGCATTTTCTTCCTCTTTACCTTTAAATAAGTAGTTAGAAAATCCAGTAGATGGTGATGGATAGTGATTGCTTTAGATTTGTTTTTATTTCTATACTAGATAATTTTCCATAGCTCTGGTGTGGTTTCCCCATTCCTTGAAATTTTTTTTTAAGATTTTATTTATTTGACAGAGAGAGCACAAGGAGAGGGAGAGAGAGGGAGAAGCAGGTTCCCTGCTGAGCAAGGAGCCCAATGTGGGACTCGATCCCAGGATCCCGGGATCATGACCTGGGCCGAAGGCAGACGCTTAACTGACTGAGCCACCCAGGCATCCCTCCTTTAATTTTTAACTATTGGTGGAAAAGGGGAGATGGTTTTCTGAAATACCTTCTAAAAATTACTTTGGTAACTATGGGCTCATTATTAACCAACCTAAAGTTTATATACAATTTTGACAACAATGCCTATCCATTCTTTATAATTGTAGTCATCATATTAGAAATTCTCCCATTTATTATTGAGTATAAATTGATGAAGGCCCTCTATCCTTGCTATGAAAGATTTTGGTGGTCAACTTTGCTCTTGAACTTTTCATTTCTACAAAAGTAAAACTTTGGACACTTTAGTAATGCACTTTCCTTTTTAATAACTTGCACATCCTCACTGAGTGTTATCTTAGATCCTTTTCCATTAGATCTAGGTTTATAGTTGCTATTAAAGAGCAAATGACTAATATCAAGAGAACAGTACTTTAATCATTAAAACATGGGTCAACATCCAAATTCCTTTTGATTTCTTAATTTCTCCACCCAGTACCCTTCTAATCATTTCAAACATAACAGTGGACTGCATGATTATTTTTCAGTGCATTTGCTTTGCAAAAATACTAGAGCAGTGTTTCCCATAGCAGGTTCAACAGAACACTACACTTTAAATAGGCTCTGTAGAAAGGGTTCCGTGATCAGATTAGTTTGTGAAATTTGTTCATCTTCCTTACTTCTGCCTTGGAGATTCACTGATGTACCAAAGCTATTTGAATCTCTGCCACAATTCTATTTAATATGATGTTTCTTAAACATATGACTAAGGATCCCTTTTTCTTTCTGTGTAACATCTAGTTATACCACTTGAAGCAGGTGCTTCAAGGACCACTCTTTGGGAAACATTGCTTTATAGCCCCTGCATTACAAGCCAGCCAAGGTTTCTTACCACTATCCACACAGTGCACTACAGAATCATACTAAAAATGAAGTGAATCAGATAAATCCTGCCCATTTTCAACCTGAAGTATGAGCAGCAAAATACTGTAGCAAGTAATCTTGTTTTTTTAATGTTCTTCTCATGTAACAGTAAAAGGCACATGTTTTTAAGTTCCAATACTACTGTATTTAACAGGACATTTTTAACTGATTAAAATCTAGATCTTGGGTTCTCTTCTCTGTAACCTTTCACCTTTTCTTCTTTCCCTTCTTTTTCTTCCTTTCTCTTTTTCCTCCCAGTATCCATCCATCACTCATTTTTAATTGTGTGGGTTGCATGCTCTGTGTGTGCTATAGCAGCTTTAAGAGGTTTTTTGTTTTTTTTTTTTTTGCTAGAAGATTCAGTGGCCTGTATTACAGGGCTTTTCTTTTCCTTTATTATTATACTTAATTACTACTGGATTTCTATTTATTTCTTAATGATAAGTTATCAAATGGCTAATGTCATCAGAGGGAAAACTATATATATATATATATTTAATTTCAAATAAGATACATAAAATATTATGTATAAACAATTGTATTTATTTTATGTCTATAGAATACATAGACATACATCACACCTGTATATGTATATCCAAAAATATTGTATCACATGTTTACAAAGGTAAAAATCAAAGGAAACACAATACTCATTGAGAGGCCACATTTTTCAGCAAATGAAGTCAAAATGATTTTGAGCACAAGTCAGAATTAATATGAGACACTTTGTGTACTCAGAATGCCACAAAAGAATTAAGTGGTGGTGGGTATCTCTTATTAGAGTTACATTCCATTTGGTGAAAAATAAAAATCTCTGACAAAATATTAAAATTAATATATTTATTATTTTAACTCTTTCCCTTCCAACAGTTTTTCTTTGTCCTGGACTACTAAAAGGAGTATACCAGAGTGAACATTTGTTTGAATCTGACCACCAATCTGGGGCATGGTGCAAAGACCCTCTACAGGCTTCTGACAAGATTTATTATATGCCCTGGACTCCCTACAGAACCGATACCCTGACTGAGTACTCATCCAAGGATGACTTCATTGCTGGAAGGCCAACTACAACCTACAAGCTTCCTCACAGGGTGGATGGCACAGGATTTGTAGTGTATGATGGAGCTTTGTTTTTCAACAAAGAGCGCACCAGGAACATAGTAAAATTTGATTTGCGGACTAGAATAAAGAGTGGAGAGGCGATCATAGCAAATGCCAATTACCATGATACCTCCCCTTACCGATGGGGAGGCAAATCTGACATAGACCTGGCAGTGGATGAAAATGGGCTCTGGGTAATCTATGCAACAGAACAAAATAATGGTAAAATTGTCATTAGTCAATTGAACCCTTACACCCTACGGATTGAAGGGACATGGGATACTGCGTATGATAAAAGATCAGCTTCCAATGCATTTATGATTTGCGGGATTCTGTATGTGGTCAAATCCGTATATGAGGATGACGACAATGAAGCCACGGGGAATAAGATTGACTACATTTACAACACCGACCAAAGTAAGGATAGTTTGGTGGATGTACCCTTTCCCAATTCATACCAGTACATAGCAGCTGTGGATTACAACCCCCGGGACAACCTTCTTTACGTATGGAATAATTATCACGTCGTGAAATACTCTTTGGATTTTGGACCTCTGGATAGTAGATCAGGTACGTTTGACTTTTGATGGTACTCAAGGGGGAGATATTTGTAGTTTGTTTTTGATAAGTTTTTTTTTTTTTTATATATGTATTAGACTTCCTCTGTTGTTTTCCTTCTGGCCTGAAATACCTGAAAACTGTTCATTGTCTTTTCATCTAAAAAATGTTGCCATTAAGCACTTTCAGCTATAAGAATAAAGGTATGAGAAACTTTTTTTCTCCCTTGTACAGCTAGTCTCCAATCTTAAGCCCTTCTCTGAAGGGCATTTTTATTATCAGTTGGTTAGTTCTTTGTGTAGTGAAGTACACAAAACCTTTACTAAAATAGAATGCCATCCTGTCTGATTAATTGTGACATGCCCTCAGAAGTGCTCTCCACTTGGAAAAATGTCAAGGGCTGCTTTGATATAATGCTTCAGGAGCCCTATGCCAATATATTCACTTTGCAGAGGGTGTCATATATGACCACCCTATTGGGAACATTGTCAGTTTGAGTGTGCACATGTCTGAGTGTATCTAATTGATACATACAGAAAAATGTTTATAACTGATGAATACAGAAAAAGATAGACCTCAATTTTATAAGAAAAAAACAATGCAAAACACTGCTTTGAGTAAACCAGAGGTAATCTTTAATTCCAATTATTTTTTTTAAGATTTTATTTATTTGAGAGAAGGAGAGAAAGCACAAGTAGGGGGGTGGGGCAGAGGGAGAGGGAGAAACAGACTTCCTAATGAGCAGGGAGACTGACGTGGGGCTAGATCCCAGGTGCCCCCCAATTCTTTAAAATTGTCTTTTTCCTCTCTAGGGCATACCATTTCCTCTCTAGGACATACCATTTCCTCTTAATGTTGTTTAAAGATAGTCGTAAATTGCTTTATTATTTTAAATTTTTACTTATACAACTGAATAGAATTATCTAAGTTTAGAGGTTCAGTTATTTTAACTAGCAATAATGCTGTTCTTTATGATAAAGTATAATGGAAAACTAAGATATAGGTGTCTGAATTTTGATAGAAATATAGCAATTCAAAGATTACATTTGTGTCTTTCAGTACTTACGTGTTAATATAATTTGTTTTCTGCACTGCTCTTACCATGCTTTTACTAGCATGCCGTTTTGCTTCCTAACTTAGTTCATTACACACATCTTCTTATATAACTAGATTCTAAGTTCCATATGGACACCATATAATAGATGGCATCTATAAATTAAAGGCTCAGTAACTCTTTGTTGAATGAATGAGTGAATAGCTTTCCACTTCTTACTCTGATAGAATGAGAAATAAGTTGGCATTTTCTTTAATCTCGAGAGGCCTTAGGCAGAGTGACAGCAGTGGCCTGCAATGCTAATATTATGCCTAAGTATGCAACAGCAACAAAAGCAACTTCTCCTTACTAAATCCTCAAAAAATCTCTTAGACCAAGTACAGTACCTGGTTCACTGCTGTACAGGTAAGCTTTTTCAATTTGATACACCCCTTCAGTTGAAAACCTAAGCAAAGGTCAACCATCTGGAGTATTCTGGGAAGACTTTTTTTTTTTTCATAGCTGTAATATTCTTAAATTAAAATTTATATTTTGTCAGTGAAAACTCTATTTATGTGTGGTTCTTAGCCTCTTCTGACTTTTAAATTGCAATAGGACATAATTTTAATTGCCTGCAGATAACAACTCATCTTTTCTGGTTAATCAGTGAAGAAGAGACAGTAACATGTTTCAAGTTTTATTTACTGGAAACATTATACATTATTTTTATCTCTAATAATAAATAAGTTAAATTTAATTAGCTTTCCAGGTTTTGACTTGAATTGAAGCAAATTCTTAGTTTAGTTTTTTAAATTATCCTGAAAGAGCAAGACAATACCATAGTCCCTAGTATTTAGACTTGACACAAAGATATTTCCAGTGGATTAATATACTTATATGTGTGTGTATATTTATATGATCAGTCATTGTGGACATAAGGAAAAGTACACCACTCATTTAATTTTATGTGTTTATTTATGGGAGTTAAAATATTAAACCATCTTGCCCAAATACACTAGCATTCATGTTTGTTAAAAGGATGTTATTAAAGTGGCAAACACTGAGAAATGGCAAAGTTCAGCTTTTGAAACAAATTCCTAAGAGTTGTCCCTCTCTTTAAACAACAATGAAGACCTCATCTGTTTTGCAGAGTAAGATTCCATCTGTATTAAATTTGTAAATATAATCACAAGAAAAATTATCAATTTTCATGCATTAATGCTCAGATTTAAAAGCCAGCATTTTGGTGTGGACTTAGTGGAGTTTAGAGGTGGAAAGAATAAGTGTAGAAGTAAATGTTATGCATTGTATGTGTGGATATGAGAATTTCAATTAGCATTAATAGAGGCTGTTCATCTTATTCCTCGCAAACAGTTTCAGCTGGGTGTTTTTCTTCAGTAAATTAGGTTGACATTTTTCAAAGAAATTGCCTTTAGTGAATTCTTATTATGGATCTTCTCATGAGTTTATGTACAGCCAACTTACTATAAATATGTTAGGTCAAAAAGGCTAATTCTGAGTTTGTAGCTCTAAAGTGTATTTGCTGTTGCCATCTGTTGGAAGCGAGCTTTTTTGCTCTGACTTTAACTGAGTTCTAATCAATGAAAATTCACACTTCTGAAGTTCTAATGCAAAGGGGTACCTGTGTTATACTTCTACTGAATATCACTTTTCTGCACATTAAAAAATCTGGGTGTTAGAAATTAGGGGGCAAGTCTGTTTCTCTTGTACACATAAAAACCCCTTGGGGAAGCATACACGCCAGTAGCATGCTGCTCTGAAGTGAGCTTGGGAGTCTGAAGGACTTGGCTTTGAATTCTGCCTCCAGTGCTTGACTGTGGGCATGTTGCTCAGCTTCTTGGTCTTGGTTTTCTCAACTACAAAATGGAAAAAATAACCCGATCTCCAGAAACTATTGTTAGATTTTAATGAGATGATATTTGTGGTAGGTATAACAAACTTAACCAAATAGCTACAGACCAGCCCTGCAAAAATCGTTCTCATCCACATTTTCTAAATGAGGAACTTAAGTCACTAGAGCTCCTATTACTCAAAAAGCCCACAGCTATTGAAGTGCAACCCAACTCCAGATTCATGTCCCCTCCTATGACACTGGTCATGGAACGTGTGTTTGGTGAGGCTGTGCCTCTAGATTCGGTCATGTGATGGAAGTGATCTCAGTCCCCCCATATGCCAGGCACTCTCTAGATGCCAATTTGTAGTTCTCACGGTGAGATTACCATAGCTTAGTGCTCCAAAAAGTTCTATCTGTTCTTCAACCATGAAATCAGATGTATTTTCTCCTTTTAACAAGAATCCATTTTAAATTTTGAAATGGTGAACTTTAAGAAGAATAACAAGGAAAACAGTGTCGCAGAAATATCCTAAAAGTAGTTTCAGAAATCATTTAACTTCAGTCCCTTACTTTTCCCAGCACCCATTTTCAAACTGCTAAGTGTCCTGCCTTTGTTGGGTTGGCTCAGCTACAGGACATCGGTCTGTATTCTTTTTCAAAGGAAACCATTCTGGGAATGGTACAGTCTGTGAAACAGGTTGTTTTCAACAATAGCTGTATAAACCAATTAATATTAATGCGATTTTTTAAACTTGTTTTCCAAATGTTCATTGTTAATTTTAAGTGAAGTTTCTCCTTGAAAAGTGCTTTAATGGGCCTGCTCTTCTGGACCAAGTTTTAAAAAGCTTAAAATTTGTTCTCGTTTTTGTCTAAAAACATTTTCGGAACTGTCATTATATATTTTGCATTACATTAAATGCAAGTTTGTCAGCATTTTCTATAGTCTTCCAGTATGAAAGTAATGGAAAATGAACCCGTATTTATGTGATATTGCTATTCACATAATAATTTATATTTGCAAATTTTGTAGAAGCAGTTTTTAATAATATAGTTATATCTCACATGCTAAAGAACATACAAATGCGAAGAATTCCCAATTTATAAAAAGCTTTTGTTCCAGAACTAATGAGATTTTGATTCACACTGAAATAATCTTGTTGATACTGTTTCACTCATTTTTGTTTACAGGTCCATATGTAGTGCCTGATACATAGTAGGTGCTCTGTCAAGATTTGTTGAATGATTTAAGAAATCAAAGAATGAATTATCAGAGAATAAGAATATTCCAAAAATTTTTTATGAGGATTACATATATGCCTCTCAGGTAGTCCCCTTCACTGTTGGCCTCACACTTCTTTGCTCTAGAAGTTTTGATTCATCCCAGTTATTCCCCACTCCCAACACCTACACCCAGCTTCTTCCCTTCTTCACTCAGACTGGAAAGAGCTTTGGTAACCTTAAGCAAGTTTAGCAGGTGTTAGGGAGACGTGCCAAAGCACATTAACACCTAATGCGCTTTCTTTCAGAAGTAATTAGAGGAAATTAAAGTCGGTAGTCTTACAATAGGGAAGAAAGTGAGCAACTGTTCAATGAATTTTATATTAAGAACATATTCTCAAATTTTTCAGTTGACGAATTCCAGGGTTTTCTTGAAGTTCAAAAAAACAGAGCGTGTGTTATATTCGTATATATATATACGAATAATAATCGTATTCTGTTGAAAACATGTTTTGTCTGCAGAACAGCGTGTTCAGTTTGGGATACCTGTATCAAAACTGCTTGGAAGCATTAGCACCTGAGTATAAAGTAAATGTAAAAGTGCTTCCTCTCTTTTTTTCTGAGCAGAAAACCATACCTAGAGCTATCAGATCTAGAATTTTTTTTCAAATGTACTTTTAACTGAGCCTTTTTCCTATCTTATAAAATATGATAGGAACTATATTTTCATCATTGCCTTCAGCTGGCTCTCTTGTAAGATAGCCATTCAAGCCCTCCAAATAATACTTAGCTGTTCCACAGGTTATTTGAGTGATTCTTAGGTGGGCATTGTAATTCTAGAACTACCTTATATCCTGATACATCCAGTGTGAGCGAAGCAGTTGCATTACCTCCCCTTAGCTATTA